TGTGCAGATTTAATTTTGCTGAGTTCAGGAGCCGCAGCTTTTCGTTTTGTGCCTGCCACTGTGCTGCTGCACCTGCCTTTTGTTTATTTTAAGGTCAGAAAAAAAGAGGAGAGCGGATGGTGGGAGAAACCCACATTTTCTCCTCTCTGAGGGTGCTCTTGTATTCTCCCCAACTGCCTCCTGAAAGGCACTTTTGTCCTGTAGTGAAATATATCGCCCTTCACCTCCTCTTGATGCGGTTTGCCCTCCTTTTTCATTTTTAGGAAAACGCTTAATCTTTCGGCCAGGCTCGCAGATTTTATTCCTTAAAGGTTGACGGAAAACTTGAGAGGATCTGTAAGCGTGCAATCATTATTAAGTAGGAAGGGTGGTCCAAAATATAACTTGTGGTTTATTTAATGCCTTTCATGCAGTTCAGGACGGTGCCAAGGGCTGCTGCAAACTTCAGAAGCTGCACTTTAATCTACTTTGCAAGTAGTGTGAGAATTCCTGGAATAATAAAAGCGAACATGTTTCATACTTGTTGACTGACGGCGCTCAGAAATGAGGTCTAACTGCCACATTTCCTTTTTTAGTGCTGACCACTTAAGATCTTGGTAATGATCTGGCAAGTGATATCTCCTGGAAACATGCCTGGGCTTGTCCTCAGACCTTGACAGGCTCCATCAAGCAAGGGTGTGACAGAGTGTGTGTGTGTGTGTTGTTAGTGGTGGGGGAGTTGAGGGGGGGTGGTACACACTGAGAACACTGTATTTTTATTGTAACACACACACACACACAGTTGATTGCAATAGCCATACTATTGAAAGAGTACTTCAGTTAAGTTCTCAGCAGATTCTTTTCCCGATTTCTGATAGATCGCTTTCTAAGAAACTGGCATCCTGATCATTTGCATTCCATTTTCTTATCAGTCTTTCTCTTTGCTTTCCAGCTCTTCCTCCCAGGTCAACAAAGCCAGTGTCCTCCACCATGAACAACAACTGCCTTTCACCACCTGTGTATTCGCTACAGGACGCCGAGTGGTACTGGGGAGACATAAGCAGGTAAATAACTTTAACAGTCCCATATCAAATGTGCCATCATTCTAACAAACACTAAGGTTATGGTTGGACGTATTGGTATTTTAGACCTGTTAACCGTTCACCGTTTTTCCCTCAGGGACGAGGTGAACGAGAAGCTCCGAGACACACCTGATGGCTCCTTTATGGTGCGGGACGCATCCACAAAGCTGCAGGGAGACTTTACGCTGACATTAAGGTAGGCAGAAGAAAAAGAGAGTAACAATCCCTCGCAAGCACTATCACAAACATTTTTTGCCTTCATAAACTAATTTTGTGCGTCGCCATTTCACGTTCTCAGGAAAGACGGGCACAACAAGTTGATAAAGATTTACCACCGCGATGGGAAGTACGGCTTCTCGGACCCCCTCACATTTACTTCAGTAGTGGAGCTCATATGGCACTACCAGCACCATCCGCTGGTCGAATACAACGCCACGCTGGACCTGATGCTCACCCATCCTGTTTCCCGCTTCCAGCAGGTTAGCGAGCAGCAACATTTAATGCTTTTTTAATTAAAATGTCCTTAAAAAGTCAGACGCTGCAAAAAGCGATGATGGAGATTTTTGTTAAATACAGGGGATTATGAATTGTACATATTTAAGTGTGATTTTTTTCCTCCAGGTGAAAGAGGACACTGTCGACGTCGCTGGAAGAAAGCTCAAGGAGGTTCACAGTCAGTATCAAGAGAAGACGAAGGAGTTTGATCGTCTTTATGAAGCATTCACAAAGACCTCGCAGGTAAAAACACACTTATTAAATGAACTCTGAAAAAATATACAGCAGAATTTACATTCATCAGTCTCCTGAGTCTTTTCTGACTGGACGTGTTCTTTGTGATGCAGGAGATCCAGATGAAGCGAACAGCAATTGAGGCCTTCAATGAGACGATGCTGATCTTCGAGGAGCAGTGTCGTGAACAGGAGCGTTACGGAGAGGAGTTTGAGAGGAACAATCAGTCTGAGGGCGCCGACAAAGATCTAGAGAGGTACTTTATTTCATCGTGGTCCAAAAAATAAAATGTCCCCAGATGTAGTTTAATATGTGTGCACGTAGCCCATGTTTGCTGAACTGTATTCAGACCTGCGACCTTTACTGCCCCTCTTTAGCTTTCTGATCAATTACGAGAAGCTCAAGTGTCGTCTTGGGGAGATCTACGACAGTAAAATCCATCTGGAGGAAGACTTAAGAACGCAGGTGGAGGACTACAGAGAGACGGACAGGAAGATGAACAGCTTGCGGCCTGACCTTATCCAGCTACGCAACATCAGAGACCAGTACCTAAAGTAAGTCGTGTAGTTAAGTAGTAAATTAGTAAGTAAGAGCATTTCCGTAGCTGCTCTGTTAAGTGCAGTTAATTCATGTGAAAAATAAAACCTTTCTTTACACTTTCTCCTTGCAGCTGGCTTAATCACAAAGGCGTACGGCAGAAACGTATAAATGACTGGCTGGGGACGCAGAGCGACAGCCTTGATGAGTAAGTTTCAACTAATTCTGTTTAAGAAAGCAACCGATAACTTAAAAATGAAAAATACAGAATTATTACAGTAGCATTACAATACGACTCTTGCGTTTTTCAGCACATATGTGTTGAAGGGAGACGAGAAGAACTTGCCACATCAGGATGAGACGAGTTGGTTTGTCGGCGAACTGAGCCGGACGCAGGCCGAGGAGATGCTTCAAGGGAAAGCCCCTGGAACGTTCCTGATCCGTGAGAGCAGTAAACAAGGATGCTACGCCTGCTCTGTTGTGTGAGTGTGACATTTTAGTAAGCAGTACCTGGAGAACAGATCGATTTTTGAGATGAATATTATGCATGGTGTAATGGTGTGACGCTCATTGATGGTTTTTTTCCTTTGTTTGTTACAGCGTGAATGAGGAAGTGAAGCATTGCATGGTCTACAGCACGCCGCACGGATACGGCTTTGCTGAGCCCTACGACGTCCACTGCTCACTGAAAGACCTTGTCCTGCACTATCGCCTGCACTCCTTAGTGCAACACAATGACGCCCTGGATGTTCGGCTGTCGCATCCAGTACACGCCAAAGCTGCAGCCACGCCTTCTCAAAACGCAGAGGAACACAAACTCTTACAGACTCCAAAACACACAGCGGGGCTCCCGCCTGCGGCTCCAGAGATGTAATCCAATGGAAAGAGACAAAAGGACATGTTTACTGTAACTGCGAGAATGACTGCATCGAGGTGCAATGTGTAAAGTTTTGCACTACAGTGATTCCATCGGTTTTTGTGAATGGGAGTTCACAGATTGAAGTGGGACCGGATCTTGAATGTCAGCTTGAACTTTGTTTTTGTTTTTTTGTTTTCAAAGAGACTGTTTAAGCTTTTAATATTTTTTTTGTACTTCTACATTTTTTTCCATTTCTTTAATGGACACCTTTTCGGTAGGGATGTTGACAACCAGAAAATTGCTCACTGGCGTCAGGTGCTGCACCTTTGTTAGACTTTTACAACCGGAGTTGATGTTGTAAAAGATGTCCATTTCCTTAGTTAAAATGTTTCAGTTGAAAATTTGACCAATAGGTTAGAAACATATTTGGTTACAATGGAGTTATATTTGTACCTCATTCCTGAGTGTGTGAGGGCCCATTCTGAGGACAGAAAAAAAGGCTTTTTGCAAGCACATAAATTATATTTATCATGCACAGAAAGTTTGAATTTGAGCAAGAAAAAACGTCCTCAATGAATTTATTTACCTGATAATATCCACATAAGCACACAGTGATGACCTCTTTCACTCTCTCAATGTGTAAGATAAGATTTAAGACTTTATTAATCCCACACTGGGGAAATGTACTTGCTAGCTCCAGATACAACACAACAAAAAAAGTAAATGCACATGAAACAAAATAAAAAAAAATAGAACCGAAAAATACAAGATATGATAAAATATAAAAAATGACTCAGAGTTGTATGTACAAATTGAAATAACTCAGAGGGTTGTACTTCTGATTTTATAAGAATGTTATTAGTTGGTTTATAGTAAATAGTCAATTATGTCAGCTAGCTATAGAACTATTAGACTCAACTCAGGGCTCTATGCTTTTTACCACTTTTTACAGAGGCTTGCGCTACTAAGATAAAAAAAAATTAGAGGCAGTTTAAGTTCCATTTCTTTTCAAGGAACTTCATAAATAATTTCAGCGTCTTGGCTGTGTAGTTTGCAATCTTCAGGGAAGCCAAGTATCTCAGTTACTGCATATATGAGAGACGTTAGCTCCCAAACTACCAAGACAGTTTGGCTGCAAGCTAATAAAGTACAGACTAACTTACAAGCGGTTCATAAAACTGTATACACTGCTAATGAAGAAATTACAGAATCGTTTTCTGACTGGCTGGCATTGTAGCACACTGTCACACGCTGTCAAGTAGAGCCGAGCGCAAACATGTTGGGAGAAACACTAGTGTCTCAAGTATTTGGTAGTGCACAGAGCAGGGAAATGATTAAACTGAGTGAAAGAGGTTATCATCATGCACTCATGGGGATATAGGAAACACGGTAAGAAATGTATTGAGCACAAATAGATTTTTGTTTGTTCAAATTAAATTGTTTGTGTGATAATTTCTCTACAAACTCTTAATTTATGTGCTTTTTCTGTACTCAGAATAACCCATTGCATGCCTCAGCTATGTGGCAGGAATACAACTCCATAGGTTACTACTACGTAGTGCATTTGTGAGGGGGATAATGGTGCTGTAAACAGGCTGTTTCCGTCATACTGGTTTGGTGGACCAAACCATATTTTGGGTAAATGCCACGTGTGAATATGTGAAAAGTCGTGGTGCATCTTGACAATATGCCCCTTTCTTAAACAGGCATTCATATACAGTGGATACTTATGTAGCATTAACATCCTGTAGAATACCATTGTACGAGCATACTCAATGTTAAACCCATTGACCAAAGCACTTAATAGTGAGCGAAACTACGTCCCTGTTAAGTCCGGTAATTGCATTTGGGCAAGGGGAGGGCAATTTATGTACACCTGCTGATGTGCTGATCAAAACATAATCTGAAGTACTGTATGTTATATTCTGTTACTCAAAGAAGTATAAGCTTTTTGTATTCTATATATATTTTTTCTATAAACATGCCACAAGATGAAAGCTTGAAGAAAGTGCAATCCAACAGTATTTCTATTGTTGCAATGTATGACGATGATGATGGTGGTGAAGGTAATGCTGTTACGAGAGGTTGACATTTGCCACCAAAATGCACTCTCTTTGGTGGTGTCGGTATGATGTGGCCTCCGATGTTTGTGTGAACTGCCAGAGGTCCGGAAGTATCCTGCCTCCATTACTTGAACTGTGGCATTGCTCGAGCTATGAATGTTTTTCATGACATGCCGCCTACATAGCTTAAGAGGAAAGGAATCCATGTTGAACTTGGCACATTTTTCAAGTTTGAGGACAATAGATACTCTGTACAGAGAAACTGTAAAATGTATTTCTGAGGTTGGTTTATGGAAGGAGGGTGATTACGCCTCTTATAAAAATATAACTCCACTGGGGGATTGAGGAAACTCCTCGGGTGAAGCTAAGCAATGTGAGATCCTGACCTTTTTCTTGCTGAAAGACAATAAACTGATGAGGGTTTTGTCAACTTACATAATCCATTGCTTGTCTTTCTTCTACACAGTCTATTGCTTTCACAGTATGCACACAAAAAAATATATAATTTATGGTAACCATGTAAAAAGATATTAGGAGTATTTTTTCCCCCAAGTAAGATAAGATAAGATATTCCTTTAATAGTCCACAATGGGGAAATTCCAATCTTACCACCACAAAGTGGATAGAGAAAAAACAAACGATATAAAGACACGTATACCAGACCAGTATGAACAAATAATATAATCCACCATCACTACCCCCCACACCTCCGAACTTACAACACACGCAACGACAAAACACACACAGATGTCTAACGCTACTCGACACAACACCGCGACACAACACAAAGCATAGAAAAGTTGTCTAAAATATACCGTCAGTCTGCAGTGGAGCCACTGTTGTCCGATGAGCTTATCCTTGGGTCAGCAGAGATAGGAGGCGACGAGGGCACTGGAGGACACGCTGTGGACAGATGGAAGAGAAAGGAAGCGATAAAGACAATAGCAGGATATGTGCAGGCCCTGTCCCTACTAGGTCTGGCCGCCGTTGAGTCACTAGAAAACAATCTGTCAGACCTACTTCAGTATATTCAAACGTTTTTTGATGTTCCTGGGAAAGGAATGCAGCTCATTTGGACTTCGTCTGCAGAACTTAATCACAACACCATTGTTGCCCTGGTAATTACACAAACTTTAGCACTAACTACAAATGAGCCACTACAATATAGTGACCCCCGAGGAGGATGACGATGCTGACCCCGGGTGACACCACCGCTGGCCCTCCGTGACCGGAGCAACAGGTGGCCTGTTTCCACCATCACATAAGGTCTGTGTTAGGTAGGGATTAATGAGGTGCAGAGGGCGGGGATGTACTGGGGGAGAGCCTCAGTTCCAGGCCACGGATTACTCCCTCTTACCTGTGTCAGCATAGAGAGCTGCGTTCGTGCTCGGCTAGAGATGGACCAGATGCAGGGGAGAGATAGATAGTTAGGACAGACTGTACCAGAGCTGAGTCACACTCAGGCTGCAGCGTGAGTGTCCAAAAGACACGGAGGAGAGTGGGTAGAGAAAGCGTGTGGGGTTAGACAAGACAGGAAAAGAGGAGGGACAGGAAAGAGTACTCACAATTTCTCATAACTCCTGTACAGGATGGTATAAAAAAGAAGGCTGGAAAGGTCAAACTGGGCCTTTTTGCTGCACTTCCTTTAACCTGAAACACACTCCCACCTGGCTTCAGCCCAAAACTATTTGCTTTGACAGCAGTTTAGTTTGCGCCGCTCAGTCCTATGTTCCTTATCTCGGTGAAATCTGAATTTAATTCATATTAAAACATGAAGCCCCCCCCCCCTCCACCCCACGTCTTTCTCCTGCCCATACACACAGTCAGTTTCTACTTCTCTTTCTCTTTGCTTGTCGCTCCTTTAAATTCATAGTCATTTTTCTTTATAGTTCCTGGCTGGGGGAGGGATGGGGAAGGAAGGAGGGAGAGAGGGGGGGCAGCAGGACGAATTACCTTTGGAGTCACGCCTAAAATACACACACCATGAACTGTCTCGCAGGCTTTCAGAAAGAGAGGTTTTCGCTTTCAGTTTAGCCGCAGCCAATCGCGGCTCTCCTCCCCTCTGTCTCCGTCCGATTCCACCGTTTCCACGCTACCCGCTCAGCCAATGGGAGGCCGGGAATGTGCCGAGCGTCGGCCAATCAGCGAGCAGTTGCTATGTTGGAGGCAGAATCGATAACAGAGGGATTTTTTTTTCCCTCTCTTTTTTACTAGCTCACATTATAGCTGGCTTATAGGCTGAAGGCAAGAGACACTGTTGCCTGCCAAGCAGCATGTAGGCTACGGACTGAACCATTAAACATACCAGCTCCACATTTTCTTCGAAGTCTCTCTAATACCACTGCCACAAAAAGAAGCTTAACAATGTGTCTGTATGTTGTGTTTGCACCTCTGCACGTATGTACGAATGTATCTATTTATTTAAGAATATAAGTTCACAGGTTTATCACCCACTGAGTTGTTGAGGTCATGGAAAAGCTAGAAAATTGAGATGGAAAATTGTTTCCAAGCCTGGAGGAATTATGGTAAATGGTGCACATCAAGTTTTAGAATGAAAGTTATGTTGTGAAAGTTTGTACTAAAATCTTTTGTTTTCTTCTTCAGGAACATATTTTCTTTAATATTTTGGCTATCCTTTTAAAGAATAGCCCAAAAAACAACATCTTATTACTTACAGTCATCACTACTTATAGTAGAAGAAGTACGGTATTGTATTTAGCGAAATGTTTAGGATGACACTTAAACACACTGGGAAGGTTTCTTATTTTGCTGATCTGTGTTCTAAAATAAAATCAAAAAAGAAAATTACATTAAGTCATTAATCCTGAATTGAATCAGTTTAGAACTTTAAAATAAAAGTGGCATTGGATGAAACAATTATACTGAACAAAAGTTAATATTGTGATTCACTGGATGCTGCTGAACCTAATAAGATAATGTGTTTATCTCAGTGACCTGTGGTAACAGTGGTTCAAGTAAGGGGCTCAGACCACACTGAGATGAGAGATGACAGCTCTTACAAGGGGATAAAATACAAACCATTCACCAGAAATGCAAAACCCAGATCCACAGCCAAATCAGATTTGCAGATAGCAGCTTCGGCAGGGATGGTAGTTGATCCCACCTCCTTGAAACAGGTAGAGCAGGACACTGACTCAACTCTAAAATAAAAACTTTCCTTTTGGATAAGTGCCCAACCTTTTGCATTCGTCCCAGTTCGACCTGCGACATACATATTGTATTTCTACATCTCAAGGAAACAAAATCCTCACTAATGATTTCAGCTGTAATAAATGAAGGACCTCAGCGTCTCTCGAGCTCTCAGGACAACCTCATTGCGGGAGTTCAGCTCTCAGATAGATTAAAAAAGCACCAGCCGGCACATGGCCAGTAAACCAAGAGGCACAGGACTGACAGACACCGGCTCCGGTGCAGATGGCAAAGAAGCTTCAGCGTACGAGTCACAATGCAGCTTGGTCTAAAAGCATAATACTGTTACTCTGTACACTGTAGGCGTAGCCAAGATAAGGAAGGGTTACAGAGTTCAAGTCCTGTCAGGTGAGGATAGGAGCCTTGTCTGGCAATATCAGAACAAACATGTAGACCAGATTAAACTTGCAACTACTATGAATTTATAATAAGAAGGGAGCAGTATTATGAACACAAAATATCCTCATCATACGACAAAGATTTTTACATTACAAGTTATGGGCAATATTATGGAAATAATAATAAAACTCCTACCACAGAGTGCTGTAATAACATGTTTTGCATTATGATTTAAAGCTAATTCTTAGGACTCTGAAAACTCTGAACTCTACCGACTCCCATAAGAACCATAAGCTGTCAATATCATCTCACAGTGTTTTTCTTTCCTGGTGAAAGCAACGTCTTGCCAAAGGACAGAGCCCTGATGAAAAGGTCAGACATACCCTGCACTTAAAGCAGAATGGTAATTATGGTGACCACTTTCCATAGGATGACCCTCACACCGTTTACTTTCTCTGCCACTACGTGGGAGATTCTGGGAGCAGCGCAAGCACTTCCCATCACCACAATGGAGAGACATGATGATCAGTGAAAATAATTAGCATGTTCATGACAAGCAAAAACGTGGACTGCAGGAGAAGTGACGAGTGAGAGACTACAGCCATGCCTGGCAATAAAAAAAAAGCACAATCACACTGTAACAGAAGCATATTTGCCAAAAGAAATCTGTGTCACTACATTCAAATTAATTTTAGCACCTCACCTACTTATTAAAACCTGTTTTACAAGAGACACCTGCCCAGGCAGCAGCATGAAGAACAAAAGGCAAAGAAAATGAATGACTTTCATATTACAATTGAAACACATAAAGTCAACACACTGGGGGGAAATGCGTGACATTCTGTCATTATGGTTAAGTCAAAGGATTTAGCAGAGGCCTGTTTTCAGTCGCTTATTTAAACCAACTCCTGACAGACATCATCATGCTGGACTAGAGAACATGTATGTCCCTCATGTATCATCCATTGAATGAAAGGACGCTGTTGTCACACTTCAATGAAACACCAATGAGGCTCTTGAATCACTAAATAGCACTGATAATTCACGACTGCTAAAAATACACGATGTGATTAACACATAACTCAGGCTTGTGTGGAAAGTGTCAGTGTTCGTGCCACTATTGAGAAAAAAATGTTGTCTTATTTGAGGATGAAGAATACATTTGCCTTCCAGATTTTCATTTTTTGGTTCTCTGATAAACACGTAGGCAGGTTTGGACTGTTTGATCAGCATTTAAAAGAGAGGGCATCACATTGCAAGTTAAAACACTATTGTTATTATTGTAGTTTACTCATGGAAAGATCTATGCTGAAAGTCCATTGTGAAAAATGAGGCAGCTGAATATGTCAGAAGTTAGTAACCTTAGTTGCATTACATGAATATGTTTTCTTTTTGATAATATTTGATGATAAAAAAAACTACTTAATTTGCCTAGTTACACTGTAATCACTGATTCTTTTTCATGTTCACAAACTCACTGTAGTCTCTCAAGGCAGACACGTAACATTTTAAGTTTAGATTTTTTAATTTCCTACCAAGATATTTGGCTGCAAATAAGAGGAACCATAAAGTGTGTGTTTGCTTTTTCAAAGCTCACTCAGTTCAGAAGGTTTGCCTTATAATGGCGTACTAAGAGTCCATTTAAGCTGCATCCCATAAACTAATTAATTGTTCAGCTGAGATAATGGCCATGGTGGATGCCCTTTAGGGAAACAGGACATACTGGAAATATAACAATACTGAGCAACAAGAGGGAAACCCAGCCAATTGTGTAGTACAAAGGGCGGCCAGGTTGGCACATATCTATCTTGAGTTTTAATAGGCCAAGGTTGGTGCCACCACATATTCTCTAGTACACCACTGGCTGTGTAATTCTGGGTGACACATTGAAACAGCAGGAAATACAAGTCGAGCGACAGTTACAGGACTTTTTCCTGTTAACTGTCACAGTCGTTTTTCACCTCAATTCAATGGACCAGACAGGTCTAATCGGCCCAAGCAGTGCTAGAGTTCTGTATGTAATAACAGGCTTCCAACATAATATTTAAACTAATTTGATGTCAAGCTACTGATTAAAACAAACTGGACTAGCCATTGCCACTGTCTAAGAGTAGGCTGGATTGAAGGCTTGGTCAAGTCTCCAGTGGAAGAGGTTACAGCCAACACAGTGGAGGATAGCTACATCTAAAATTACCATTCTGACATGCTAAGAATACTATGATAATTTACATGGCAGGTTTCTGTGGCTTGTTGTCAAGGACTCTCGTTTGTTTGGCCGCTTGCTCAAAGGCAACACTGCCATCTGGCGTTGTGTGTTATAACACAAATCTGGCGTGAATTATTGAGAAAACTGAGCAAAAATAATGAAGATGAACATTTTTTTTAATTTTTATTAAAAAATAAAATAAAAAGCCATACCTTCGTGTCATTTAAAGTGCTGTTTCCCAAGAGAGACAACGAGGGTCGTCTCGGGGACTGATTGGGTAAGACTGGAGATTCTGCCAGACCAGTGCAGTCGAGCCAGAAACATCGATTGACAGTCTGCAGGGCGACGGAAGTTGCCTGCATCCTCATCAGTAAACTTATGGGTAAGTCGCGGCTAAAAACAAGCTGAATTTGGACATTTCTTAACAACACCGTCGTTCTCTGTGAGGTGACCCTCTCCCAGCAGGGTTTGGTCGAGCAGTACAGGTGGTCTGAGTTCAGTTGAGCGTTTCACTGATGAATGTGATGGTTGTTGTTGGTTTGTATGCTAGCATGCCTGGCTAACTTCGGCGGCAGGTGTATTTGATACAGGCTCTATAGCAACAGAGTGACGGTCAGTAACTCACCTATGACTGCACTAGTGTGCTTTACCATGAAGCAGTCAAAAAAAGTCTCTTACATGTCTGTCGTATGTTGCTGACATTGCCTAATGTGTGTTGCTACACAGCAGTGAAGTGTGTCAGTGTTCTGGTGTTCATGCATTCAGCTCATGTGTCTTTCAGGCCTGTTTCCTGCTGAGCCTCACTAGAGAGGAGGGTTTGGGATTACTGGCCTCCATGTTATCACAGATCTGCCACCGCTGCCATGTCCTCCACCTCTGTGTCAACATCCACGTGTTGTGGTGGTGATGCTGCAGCTGCCATGGCAACCCAGGCGTCCGAGCAGGCTCTGCTGGCCTCAGACCGCTATGCCAGACTCATCCTGGCCCAGATGAACAAGATGCGGCTCCGCACAGACTTCTGTGACGTGGGGCTGAAGGTTGGCGGCAGGGTCTTCAGGGTCCACCGACTGGTGCTCGCTGCCAGCAGCCCGTACTTCTCGGCTCTGTTCTCTGGAGGGATGAGGGAGGCGGATAAAGAGGAGGTGCAGATCCTTGGTGTGGAGACTGAAGTCTTTGAGGTCCTGCTCGACTTCATATACACAGGTCTGCATCGATCTTGATAGTTCCCATCATCATGTTCCATAAAATCTGTGTAATTTTGTCTTATTTTCTGAATGGAAATGTTTCCTATCAGGCGTGATCAGTGTTACAGTGGAGAACGTTCAGGAGCTGATGGTGGCAGCAGACATGCTGCAGCTGAACGAGGTGGTGTCTATCTGTGGAGAGTTTCTCAAGGGCCACATGGACCCGTCCAACTGCGTGGGCATCTTTCAGTTCCTGGAGCAGATTGCCTGCATGGACATGCTGGAGTTCACTGAGAACTACATTCATGTTCACTTTCTGGAGGTATGAAACGATAAGATATGTTATTTTATCTCTCTGCCAATACTCCGGTGCTCCCCTGGTAAAAGAAAGCTAGATTTACATAAAATCTGAAACAAGGCCAATCAAAAACCATCAGCATTTTATCAGAATGGTAGTTTCATCATTTATTTTGCTAAAAAAACCACTTCAACTCACACTGTAATTTCCCAGTTTGATGCTTACAGATTGCCTTCATCAACTGCCTCCCTTTAGGTGTGTGTCACTGATGAGTTCAGGGGTCTGTCGAAGGATCAGCTGGTGAGGCTGCTAAGAAGTGAAGAGCTGAGAATTGAGGATGAGTACCAGGTATTCACTGCAGCCATGGACTGGGTTCTCCAAGATGTGGCAAAGAGGAAAAAGCATGTAGTGGAGGTGTTGGAACCAGTCCGCTTCCCTCTGCTGTCCCCACAGAGACTGTTCAAGTACATAGAAGGTAAGGATCACATTCTGCTCTCCCCCATTTAGATTTTACATACTTGACGATTTATATCCACAATTTAGCTTTTTAACTGATTAGATGCCACATTGTAAACAACATCTTGAAGGTTTTGTCATTGTGCGTTTCATTAAAGGTATTACAGACTTCAGCCTGCGGGTGGCACTACAAACTCTGCTGAAGGAATACACTGAAGTCACAAAGTCTCCCAAAGAAAATAAGATGTACAGTCAGCTGCAACCAGCCAAGATGAGACCCAGAAGAAAAGCCAGGAAATACCTCTACGCCATAGGTTCTGTTTCAGTTTCTGTGACCTGATGAATTTTGGTTGATGAAGACAGTTTAAAGGACCAGTGTGGAGGATTTAGTGGCATCTAGCGGTGTAGCTGCAGAATGCAACTCACTCGTTTCACCTCTTCTGGGCTACTATAGAAACATGGCGACCCGGGTGTCTGTAGATAAAAATGGCTAATTTAAAAAAAACCCACAATGATTCTTATTTTCAGTGATTATACACTAATGAAAACATCATCATTATATTCCATTTCTGCCAACAGATCCTCCTAAATGTTACACCCTGGACCTTAAATTAAGACGATAACTAAGATTTTTTCAAATAAGAAATGTCAGTGATGTCAGACTTAGACCTTTACTCGTTTCCTCATGGCAGGAGGCTACACTCGGCTGCAGGGCGGCCGCTGGAGTGACAGCCGGGCATTGAGCTGTGTGGAGCGCTTCGACACCTTCAACCAGTACTGGACCACTGTATCGTCCCTGCACCAGGCCCGCAGCGGGTTGGGCGTCGCAGTACTGGAGGGCATGATCTATGTGGTGGGAGGTGAGACAGATGAGGCCGCTTTGTGTTTGTGTGCAAGCCCAAAAATAAAAGAACCTCTTTTACCCCTGACACAAATGTTTTTTTTGTCACCAGGGGAGAAAGACTCAATGATTTTTGACTGCACAGAGCGATACGACCCAGTGACCAAGCAGTGGGCCGCTGTTGCGTCTCTGAACTTTCCTCGCTGTGGAGTCGGCGTCTGCCCCTGCCATGGAGCTCTGTATGCACTTGGTAAATGCCACAATAACAGTAGCGCCATGTTTAACTAAAATGTGCACAAACTGGTAGTTTAGTTTTGAAGAGGCAATCCACTAGTTTCACACTTTTAGATCAGTTTACTAGTCTTCAGTAACAGTGACATCACTTGACTCATCTCAGCTTGTCCTTGCAGACATAAAACTTATAACAGAACCCCTGTATTTCAAACTGGGGATACAAAAGATGTGGGCATATACCTGTTTAGGAAGGTTTAATAAAGGGGATCCAGTGTTTTTGGAGTTTGAGCCCTATAGGTATCGGGATACCTTGGCCTACTCTTCTTTTTCTTGTCTGTCTGTGTCCACCAACTTTATGCAAGTGCGATACTAAAGTGTTGTTACCAGCGTCTTGGGGGAAATTCAGACAGAAAACTTGACCTGTTTATTTCACTGTGCTACTTTAGGTGGTTGGATTGGCTCTGAGATTGGGAAGACCATGGAACGATACGACCCAGAGGAGAACAAGTGGGAGGTCATCGGCAGCATGGCAGTTCCTCGTTACTACTTTGGCTGCTGTGAGCTACAAGGTGTGTTCCTCCCGTTTAAAAAAAAAAAAAAAAAAATGAATGTGTATGATCCAGTGCAACCTTTGTAAATGATCTGCCTTTCTCAGTGTTCACACACAATTACAAATGCTACTGAACCCACATTCTCCCTTGGGTTTTCTATGATGAGATCAACACTTGGACACTGAACATGCTGTCGTCTCCCAGGGTTTATTTACGTGATCGGAGGAATCAGTGACGAAGGAATGGAGCTGCGCTCAGCTGAGGTGTATGACCCCATCTCTCGCCGATGGAGTGCCCTGCCCGTCATGGTCACACGACGAGCCTATGTCGGCGTCGCCTGCCTCAATAACTGTATTTACGCGGTGGGTGGCTGGAATGAGGCACTGGGTGCACTAGAGACAGTGGAGAAGTACTGTCCCGAGGAGGTAAAGCTGGGCAAATGTCAAGAGTCCCTTCAGTGACAAATGTCCTATCTGTCCTAACATTCTCCTGACCTATGCACTTTTCTGTCCACAGGAGAAATGGGTTGAGGTGGCCCCGATGTCTACAGCTCGGGCAGGCGTGTCAGTGTCAGCCGTTAATGGGCTGCTGTACGCCGTCGGAGGGAGGGCCGCCAGCAGAGACTTCTCTGCCCCAGTAACGGTGGACTCTGTGGAAATCTATGACCCTCACCTGGATACCTGGACTGAAGTTGGCAACATGATCACCAGTCGCTGTGACGGAGGGCTAGCTGTGCTCTGATAGCCAGAAATTGTAAAAGTTCTGGATCAGCGCCTGAATCATCCCAAAACTGCATAAACTGAAGAAAAGCTGCACCTTAAGAAACACAAGAAGTGTGTTTCCGTCTCAAGTAGGCTTTCACGTTATCGTATATGTTATTTATACATGGATCGGACATGTTTTTCTTTTTCTATTTGTCCACAACATTTGACATTTATTGAACAGGAATATGACAGCAAATCCAAAACTGGAAAACTACCAAAACTGTTTCCACTCACACTGTTACACGACTCTTCTTCATCTCTGTTTTCAATTTACTAAATAATTTTACAAGACTATCAGAATGGCAACACACTTGTTTTCTTCTTTTGTGTATTTGAAGACAAAGTGATCCTTGTGATAAGGATATTGTTTCACAGTGGAGGAGTTCAGTTTTGGATGGACCAGAGTTTTTCACTGTAAGAGTCCTGTGGGGACGGCGAACACTGTTCGTGGATAATATGTGAAAGCACTGTTTTTTTAGTTGGTTTTCTCTTTGTTTTTCCTCAAAGAAAAGTTTGAGCTGAGTGTATTGCTACATGGAAGATTTATCAAACCACTTGAGCCTATTTAATAATGGGACCAAAGTTCCATGATAAGTGATTTCTGTAATTAATTATAAACTTGAACAGCACACCACTGTTGTCACACCAGTGCAGTTATCATTCAGTGACCTTCACTGGATTATTTTTGTATGTATGATACTGTAAATAGTAGTGCCTCTCCACACAAGTGGAGATTATTCCATCATTTGACTAATCAGTGGCGTGTGAATTTACTAACACTTTGATTTCATTTGCATTTCAACTTCCTGATGTTGAGACACACAACATAATTATTAGAACACAATGCACATGTTTAGGAATGTGTTTACTTTTTTTTATGGTAAGTGGTAAGTTATATTTTTTCTCTGGATGTTGGAGGTCGTCACATTTCTCTCATGTACTGTTAACCCTTCGCAAACAACAGAATTTTAATGTTACACAACAGTATGACATGTTTTATTGGTTGCTTTTCAGGCTAAATAAACTTCACAACATTTATGTGTGTGTTGGGTTTTAAATGAACCAGAATACTTTGTGTCTTCATTAAGATAGTTCAAACTGAATAACACAGTAGTCCTGTAAAAACGGCGATACATAGTTCTTTTTTTTTTTTTTTTTATACAAGCCTCTCTGATGTACTGAGCGATGGTATGCAGGGTTGCTTGGTCTGTTATGACGAATCAGACTAGAATGATTGCAGTCTTTGCTGAACACTGCAAATGTAAAGTTGCTCTACTTTGTGTACTGTTTAGAAAATTACAGTATAAAGGGCCACTGTAAACATCACACTGAGTTTGTACATGAAGTACAGAACAAACACATGCTGAGTTGACTATACGTTTGCTAGAGAGAGGAGGATTTTCTGCACTGTGCAAACAATTTACAGTAGCAGCACTTGCTCTGTAAGATTACATTTGACATCTCACTGGATTAGTGGCTCCTTAATACAGTTCGTCTGTTGTCATCAACTCTCCAGTGCCCTTTTTATTAGCTTCTGCAATCATCTGTTTATCTGTTTGGCTGAGGTCTGCTACTGTAACGCATCAAGGCTGTTTTGTATAGATGTGGCACACTTCCAAGACGAGAGCTCTGCCACGAAAGTCTCAGCAATCCTGGATTTACACAGAGCATTTGCATCGAATGTCAATCTCCAGTAACGTCTTGACCTTAAAGGTTGTGATGTGTGGAGTATAATATCTTTACGTTTACAGGTCACTGTTTGATGTACTGGAACTCCTCCGAATTAAACCAGTAAAGAGGCAGAGAGAGACAGATGAGTGAGGATGTTTGAGAACAGTTAGCATTAACAACAGAACTATACTGTACTCATCTTAAACAAATTAAGAAAGCAGCTTACGAAACTGCATACATTCATTTAGCTGTGGTTTTGACTTGTATCACTTGTTTGCTATGGACCTTCTCCTTTGTGTTCTTAATAAAGCCATTATTACTGTGTGTATTATTATTATTATATTCAATTTGGGAGTACACACAATGAAAAGGTATTAAAACAGACCTAATAGTCTTTAGCATCGGTCTCACATTTGACATGTAAAATTGCTCTTTTTCAAAACCATTATATTCAGGGATACGTTTGTCTCTACTTTTCACAGCAGAAGAATGTATGAACAACTCAATTTGAATTTAATGTGCTTCTACAAATGTTTTCTTATACATAATAAATGTTTGGATATTTTAATCTAGATTCTCACAAAGTAGAAATGTCTGTGCCACATGTATAGTATACATGGAACATCTGTCCAAAAGGTATTAAATCTATCATATAAGTAACAAAGGAGTTGGTGTGGGTTGGTGTACAGCATGAACAAACCAGACCGTCTGCAGAGCTACACTTATTATTCTACATTTTTATTAAAGTCCATGTGGCTCAAAGTACAAACTGTCCTTTTAAATCAGTTCTGAATCTCTCTGATCTTCTTCTCAGTGCAGAACTTTTTCATTGTCAGTGTAGCCACCAGTGAAAAGGTGGCGACCAGGGTGAGGATGGTTCGCATTGCTTTGAACCAGGAAGGGTAGCCAGGCAGCAGGGTCAGGTCATAGTGCAGCGAGAGACCCAGTCCCATAATAACTACCAGGGCACCCTCTGCAATATTGTCCCTGCAGAGCAGAGCCAGCCAGGCCAGAAGCGAAGGCACCACACTGTTGCCTAAATTCATCCAGTCAGGCTGAGCAGGACTACCAGCAGGGATGGCAAACCCCCAGCGGGAACCTCCAAGGAAGGAGACAATAGAGGCTCCGTAGACCACTTGAGCGTATGCCAGTTCGGGGTAGAAGGACTGTGTGGCAGCCATCAGGAGAGGGGCGGACAGGAAAGGGATGAGCCCAGAGAAACCGAGGTACAGAGCTGGTTTGGGAGCCTGGGCGAGGGTCCTCAAACTGAAACCCCCTTTTTTATCCGCTCTCTCTGAGGTGCTTTGCGAATCCCCGTGGCAGAGACGTGAGGCAGGCCAGCTCAGGGGCCTGATGCTCAAAAACCTGCTGGTGGAAGTTAGTCTGGATGGCATTAACCCCGAGGAGGCTGGACGGTGGAACAGCAGCTGAGCTCTGGTTGTGTATTTCACTGTGTTTGGTGCTCTGGTTGTCTGCTGAAGGCATCTCCACACTGGAACCTGAGAACGAAATAATCATAGAAGTGCATAAACATCATGACTTCTTATAGTAATATAATGCTTGCACACGTAGTAACTCTATTAGTAAACAAGCGTTATTGATCAACAGTCTTACCCCAGAAATGATGCATCTTCCAAACGCAAATCTGATCATTTTCGATCTGAAAAAGACACAATTAATTAGTAATAAACACTCCCCATAGCACATAGCAACCCCCCCCCCCCCGNNCCCCAACAGGCTAACGTTGGTGCTGCTAACAGCTAGCATACAACCTCTTATAGCTACTTGCTCAACCTGACGCAATACATAGCTAACCTACTGTAACAATCAAGAAACCAAAGATGTTGCAGTTACCGAAATGTTAGCCTTTAATTGTTTGTATTTCAATGGTTTGCCAAGGCCATTACAGGCACAATTACACAGAGTTAATAGTTACAAAGCTAACATTAACTCGCCAAACTTAAGGTCGTTTGCTGGCTCCCATTGTATCGGTGCTCCATTAAATGCCTGTCTCCTGATCTTCCAAAGCTGAATGAGACTGGTTCGGTTATCGACTGGCTGAGCTGTCGGTGGCGGGGGGGGGAAGTATTAGGTTATATTCAAGAAGGGGAAAATACAAATATAAGTCCTACAAAGACTGTGTTCTACGAATATTTAGAAAATTATAAAATAGTAATTTCAAGTATGGACATGTCGTTTTATTTAAAAAAAAAAAAAAAAAAGTATTTACAGAAGCTGCGCTGTTAGGCCAGTTCGACTTTAAAAACACAGTGGAACCTCGTTGAGTTGCATAATCACACCAGATCTTGAACGCAGCATCGTTGAGGCTGTTCGAGTCCCTCAGTAGCAGCGCCAGTGGTAAGCGCTCCGAAAACCCAAACAAACACCAACAGCTGCATTATTAAAGACGTGTATTATCGCGAAAAAGTGTAATCCCGCTCGTGTTTGCAGATTGTGTTTGAATAATCCCTCTCTCGGAGGCTCCGTTGCTCAGGAGAAGGTAACAGCCACACGGTATCGTCACGAAACACTGCAAGTTAGCTCGCTAGCACTTAGCAGGCTGATGAATGTGTGCTGCCGCTGCTAAGGTAGCCATTTTGAAACTGTTCTTCCAACGAAGCCAGGTCTGTTTACCTCTATTGTATGTTCGTGACAGCTGCTTAAATACACTCTTCTAGCCACCGCGAGCATATTAAATGCGTTTTTACTTTGCTAAGCCCCTTAACCGTATTAATTAATTTCAACTACCTAGCAGCTTTCGTGGGCTAGTTAACAGACTGAGTACCGCCAGCTATTAGCTAACAGTTGCTACGCTAATGGTAACCTTAGTTAACTAAACAGAGTTCGCTAGCAGCAGAGTTAGGACTGATCTGATAACGTTGTTAGTTAGTGATTAACGTTGTCTAGTTGGCGAACGCCACCGCCGCTTTGCGTCTTAATTGTATTTCGATGCACTTTAATCCATAACATTACTCAGCTAACGTTAGTTAGCATGGTGAAACGTGCATGTAACGCTGCTGTGTGTTGAGTTGGACTGCTGCAGGGTTTGTGGACATGTGGGATTCCCACCGTGTACCATGATGTGACAGTGGGTACTTCCCGAAATGAGCAGTATTTGTGTTGCCGTCAGTGACCGGAGTGTTGTTTCACAGTGACAGTCTGTGCTGCACATTGTTGCCCGTGTCCGTGGCAAACTCGTTGATGTTATGTAATAGTTCAGTGGGAATACGCTAACGAGTCCGTTGTAGCTCTGAGTTTGTGCACACGGGGGCTATTTTTGTTTAGGTGTTGAATCTGTGTTGTATAGCATGTTTGAACGAGGCGTTGGGATTGTGAACCTCAGTTTCATCCAGCATTACACACAGTGCCAGGCCTGTTTATATGCGCAGCAGTCTGGGGAGAAGAACCGAGAAATAAAGTGTTCAAGTTATTTTTACACTGGTATAAATATTTCATCTCCCAAAGCCGGCACAATTTCATAAAGGAGCCAGCTTCCAGCATGACATGGTTCTTGGATCACTGAGTCATGATTTTTCACTCGTACCTCTCAAAATGTGTTTGAAGTGTCAAACTCAGTTTCTGTTAAGACACTGGTTGTGTCTTGAGTTGGAAGCTATTTTGGGTTGAACATCTGCAGTAACACTGGTGTAGAGGTATGAAGGGAAATGTTGGTTTAATATAAATTCCTCTGTTTTCTCAGTAGCCAGCTCACTAGGCATACCAAACTAAAACGAACAGGATCTGATACAGCAGTTATCGGGAGGTGTTGATTCAACTATATGGACATTTTGGAAGCTGTACTTTGTGTTGCTGTTGCACCGTATCGCATTACCCTGCAATGTGTTTTCTAACATTTTGAGCAATGCTCTGTCCACCCCATTTATATAAATAACGGTTGAACAAATATTAGGAACAATTTACAATCGGTTCAACAGTGCCACAATCATACAGCTGAATCAACAACACCCCTCTAAAACACTACTCAAAAACAATATAGCTTTTATAAAGGAAGCATTTAAGATGTTTTTTTCTGAATGAAGACTGACACTGTTTGTGTTTACTGCAGGTCCAGTCTGTTCCTGTGCAGATACCAGTGAAGCCTCAACAAGAAACAGCACGGAAACTTAATGAGTGAGGGAAAAAAACTCATTCAAGAAGAAAAGGAAAGACCCACTTGACAAATTTTGGACACATGCTATTCTTCAACCTTCATTTTTTCCCACGAGAAAAAGAAGTTGATTGAACTGTCTTGAGGATTTCTTATTGGACGCGTGTCATTGTTGTTAAAGGACTCTTCTGCATTCGATGACGCGAAGACCTTCTGAATTGTGGAAGACTTTTGTGTAGCTTTTGAGCTTGCATATCTATGAAATCAGAGCCATCCCCTATATCTGTTTCAATCAGAAAACCCAAGATAGTTAAATGGGCATCCTACAAATGTGATATTAAAACACATAAAGATAAAAACGGCATTATAATGCATCATCCAGCAGCATCTCTATTTCACTAACCAAAACTGAAAATGTCGGCAATGTAACATAGGGTTTTACTTCCTTCATTGTCATGTGACTTTGAACCTTTTGAGCATTGTTTTCTTCAAAACCACACAGTCTTTTTCATCAGTTTAATGAGGTGAGCAGTGGTTTTCAGTGACCTCCATAGCCAATAAAAGGCTGTCCTCCCGAACTCATTTTTTCTTTTCTGCATGCGTTTCAGTCGATCTTAAAATGATTCGGTAAAAGGTGAGCCGCCGTTAAAAACATACTGGCACGCAGTGTGGCAGGACAACACCTGTCTCTCTCTCCTCCATCTGGTGTCAAAGTGGAACTGCTACACAAACTGCTGTCCATATTCCTGGGCAGACCATTTTCACAGACTGCTTTTCTTACAGTAATAATAAGACAACCTGGCTCTTCCTCACCTTTGGGACAAATCAATTTAGTTTGCCAATCAGCATAAAGTCCAATCAGGTTTTGAGTCTTACTCCTGACAATAAGAGCAAATGGTTCAAATAAGTTGGTGAAGGATTTAATCTGCCTGGAAAAGAAATTACACGGACTGGAAACCATTGCAATTCATCGGAGACGTGACCGGCTCAGGAGCTGCTTGGGAATCTGGTTCAAGAAGCGAAATCGGTCCCATAGACCTCAACGCTTCTGCTTTAAAATCGACTTCCTGCTTGGCCAGTTCTCTGGATTGCCATTCCAGATCATTCCTGCGACCTTTCGACCCATCTCCCAGTGTTTCACCCTGGACGAAGGGATCTGCCTCTGGGGAAAGGGGCTGTGCTGTCCTGGCGGAGGTGGAGAGGGGGTTGTCGGTGTGCTGCTCCCCGTCTGTCAGTGCACACACACTGTGATCAGTGCCAACGGGCCTGAGGAACCGAGCCCAGCCGGACCGAGAGAGGAGGCAGAGGACTTCAGAGCCACAGACTCTGGGGTAATGATAACATTTCACCTGACTGACTTGGCCAGGTCAAACATCTATGGATGTACACCAAAGCCTTTCAATTAATTGCTGTGGTGTGGTCCTTTTTAACTTATTTGTCAACTTGCACGCAAAATCATTTTAAAATTAAAACGTTGAGAGAAATCAAGCACGATGAGCTATATAAATGTATCACATACTCACATTGCAAAGTAATACTTGTTTGATGCTGCACAAGATATTTTCCATCCAGGCTGTCAACCAGTTATCAACTTCACAGGCACAGCTGCAGCAAGTCGAGCTTTGTTGTTTTCTGCTAAGAATAGGACTCTTTGGCTCGTCTTGAGGGAGACCTTTATGCAGTGAATTTCGAAATAACTAATGGTAGACAAAAACACTTGAAAGAGATCAGATGAAATCAAAGCTAGATGAGCGTGAAAGGGAATTTGAATCATGTTTCTGTGGTTGAAATAGCAGAATCAGAATTTTAAACATGTCTTTCCTTCTGTCTGTTTCTTTCAGATCCTGGCCATGAGGTTTGATGCCTCGATCCACTGACCGGAAACACTGGACCTAAATGGCGCAGCATGACTTTGTCCCTGCCTGGCTTAACTTCTCCACGCCCCAGCCTGCCAAGGTGTGTGTGCATATGTACTGTATGTATTTGAGAGTGTGTTGATCACAGGAAACAATGGTTATTGAGACTGCCTGAAATGATAAATGTCAGAGTGAAAGCTCACACCTTTTTTAGTGAGTGTCTGTGTGTGTTTGTTTGTGTGTGCAGTCAGCGACAAGTCCCCCTCAGGGACTGACAGTGCAGTCAGTACATGGTTCAGCAGACTCTCACCTAGACATTGTGTACCTTCATGAAAAGGGGAATAGAAAAAGTGGATTTCATGGAGAGTTTTTGGGATTTCTGCATCCAAGCAATGTTCTTTCCTCAATAGGAAAAAGTTGTATTTTGTGGTGGAGGTTGGACAGAAGTGCAGCTATTACAGATGAACTAAAGAATGTATGGATTTCCTGTAAATCACAAATCAAATTCCTGGAAGGACTGGTTTGAGGTGTTCAGAGAAGAGCTAGATCTATGTAAAATGTATATCATGGTATGTGATGATGGTGTTTTTGATTATCCTAACAAGACTACATTTAAATACTGCCTCGCCAAAACCTGCGTTACAGTCACGTGATTCAGTTTACTGGAAATGACTGCTGAAGTGAAATGGACAATACTCAACCTGCTCTGTTGTCATATCCACATGATTTATCAGTTATTTATCTTTATATCATTTTGATATTCCAACCAAATGGCAATTTTGTTACCATTCTGTCTTTGCATTTAATTTAATGAGGATTTTTTTTTAATAAAAATAATTAATTAATGACTGGCACATCTGGCTACCCTGGCAACACATGGTTGGTAAGTTTACATGGAAGTTCTGTAAATTGTTTAACAGTTACAATAAGTTAAGTTAGTTTATATGTAATATTGATGTTTTTTGTAAGAGTTTCCTCCACTGATTCCATTGTTGACACTAACCAGTGAAACAAACGGGAGGCTGTGTTTGATTAAAGCAAAGGAAGTGTCTGAACCATTTAAGAAGATTTAGTGAAGAGTGTGACTGCTCAACCTAGCTATTGTGTTATCCATTCAGCAAATGTTTGTTAGCATGTAAGCTCAGCTGGCTGGATAACATTTGCAGCTAGCCAAGTAAGTTGTCATTTTTCTCATGTTGGTAGTGTTTTTTCACAAGAACATTTGAACCAGATTGGTGATGATAATATGAGGAAGATTGATGGGTATTGACCGGAGCAGGATTGTAAAAGTAATTCAAATATTAAGTAAATGTATAGCCAGACTGTCTTCATTAGCATTTGTCTGCTAAAGCCATGTAACACAATTACGTCTCTTAGAAGAGAATAAGATCAGAAATTGATTGTTAATCTGTAGTTACAGGCAGTTTAAATGTCACAAGTATTGATTGTTGACTGCACTGACTCGATGATCTGTGTTGAAGTTGCCACAGACTGTCAGACATAGCTCTGTAATGTCAGTTTATACTCTCCCACAACGGCTCGGATTGACTCCAACAGAAGAAACAACAATTCACAGAAGCAACACCAGAGTTATTTTAATTGCTGGTCATAATTTGGACCGTGGCTGCAATTTAGGGGCCTGGAACCAGGCTGTATCCGCCACCTTTTACTTTAGATCAAATATACTTGAAAGTCAAATTTTAGGGGGCGGATGTTCGGCGAACGATTGGATTGATTTTTGTCCTTCCTTTTAGAAAAGGTGTTGAGCTGTCTGACTGTCGGTCTAAGATTGTGGTTGTGTTTCTCTTCAGAGCTCAGTGTAATCTGTGAGCCGGGAAGTTGCCCAGCTAAGGCCTGTCTGTAAAATCAAGAGTCAAGACAGTGAAATAATTGCACAGTCCATGTCCTGCTGACACATGACTTCACCTCAAAGTCATTTGTCTACAGGGATTAGTCTGCATACACTCTCCAGGGTTTGAGCTACAGTTTTCTGTACATAAAATTGCTGTATATTGTCTATTGTACTAAAAAATCCTTGAGATGACGCTTGCAGTGACCGGCTGAAGAACACAGTCTAATTTGATCTTTGAACTTTGGCTGGTGACAGAGATATGATTCATGTGGAACTGAGCATTTGGAGTTAATATTATCAAACGCATAGCTGTGCCAATGCAGTGACTTCAGGATTTACCACTAATAATTATGTACGCTGTGTTTTTCTGAAATGATGCACATTTCTTTCCAAGAAGATTCCATGATCGTTTTTAGGTCCTAGGGTATGTTTTTGTTCATTCTTTAAGAATAAATCCCTACATTGACAGTTTCACTTGGAGTTATTTTAGTTCTCAGAGTATGGAGCCGCTTTATGCTAATCTAAGTTTCTTCACAAGAACAAAGATAAAGTAGAGAAAAAATGACCTGTCCTGAAAAATGGTCTCAGAGTAATTGCTGTTTCTGTTTTGTAGTTTTCCTGTTGTCATTTTACCCTGGAAGAGTCGACTAACCCTGTCCCCTGTCTGTCCTCATTCAGTCCCCTGCTGCCAACCTTGAGAAACAAGGTGAGCCCCACCTCCACAGAGATGGCAGAACCGCTGTGAGCCGCCGCCGCCACAACTCCTCTGATGGCTTCTTCAACAACGGCTCCCTGCGCGCTCCAGCAGGTACGGCTCAGAACGATTACCTCTTCTGCTAACCCTGTTATTGTTATTACAACGCTTAACTGTGTGAAGGAAAGAAACTGTGAGAATACGAGGGGAAAAGAAAGAAGCCACGATGAGTTACAGTAACTGAGTTTTCACACTGTAGTGCTGGTGTAGCGCGGTGTACTGTAAGAAAATAATCACGTAGCAAAATATTAAAAGCTTTGTTGGGAATCGTGTCACCAAACTGTCTGGACCAATAAGACTGAAAACGATGTAAGTTGTTCTAGTGCAACAAACCCTACAGACTGATAAGGGAAATATAGTTGCATGAATCATATTAATGAACTACGAGACAAAGGGTTGGTGGTCTTCACAGGCTGTAATGCTGCTCCCTCACCCATACAGATCATTCACTTGTTGAACTGCTCAGGGATCAGATAAGCAGCCTGCTGCTCTTTGTAGTCATCATAAGTGTATAGATTGCTGGAGCCTTTTTTTCTCGTGCTGCTTGAATGAGACAAAGAACAGCTAATTTCAGTGTCATTTTATTGTAACTAGAGCTGCCATTGTCACAGGGACAGACTCCTTAGTGAAGATCATATATGCATCTTGGAGAGATGGATACATGTACAGCTGTTCAACATCTGCACACAATGCATCTCAGACCACCAGTGTTTTTTGTTAAAGCTGGTCGTAGAAGTGTTTGTGTGCAGAATGAACGGGTAGAATTTAGAGCTTTCAGGGAACAACGCCGGTGTTTTTCATTCAGTTATGCCAAGTGTAAGTAAAGTGATTCTGCTGGGTTATCATCGTGTGAAGTTGAAGATGATGGAGAGCAGCTGACCTCTCCCGAAAGAGCACATTATTCAGGTCCCTGTTGTGGATAAGGACACAATTGAGGCCACATGCTCTGAAGACGGTGGTGGAGGCCGCGCCGTTGTAGCAGCCTTTGAAGCAGTTTAAGCATCTCACATGACATATACGGCTAACTTTACACCTCATTCAAACCATCAGTCCTTGTTGTAGTGTGGTGCCAGTTCAGTGTTGCTCATCTCCTTCTTTATGAAATCAATGGTTTGCTCTTGTGTTTTGTTTCTAGATCTCACATCTCCATTTAGTCATGTTTCATCTCAGTTTCTGCAGTGTTGTTCCTCTGGATGAAGGATTTTGTTGGGGGATTAGTTGTACCACCATGGTGCGTTCAGGTGCAGTGGCAGTTCAATCCCAGGTCCAAGAAGTTACGCTTCTTGTTCTTCACCCATTTGTCTTAAAGTCCAAGAGTTGTCTCTCCATTGTCCCTCAGTTCACGTTAGGCTGATCGTTAGTTGTACGTAGGCTCTGTGTCGGGCCTACGCAAATTAGCTAAGGCGTTATGAGCGCTTGTGTGTGTGTGTGGATTCTGAAACATTATTATGTCATCAGGGTTTTGTCTAAGTTGCTTGTCATTTTCAGACATGCACACACACCAAGCGGGTCAATCACAGTCGTTGCAGTCTGCTTCGCTGCAATGTGTAGTTGTAGATCTAGAAAGGTGGACGTCAGGCTTTGTCTCTACGGCGTAAGGTGCGAGGCTCCACCATACCTATGCTGTACCCATGGTGTGGATATGATGCAGAAGTATAAATCAGGCTCTTGTCTTTGCTCACCTTGAGCCGCCCTCAGCATTGGAAAGCAGAAGGGCAGCTTTATGTGTCTCTACTTGCTCTTGGTGTGCCCTGCCAGCCACTCATGTTGAACAAAATCTTTAACCGTCTTCTGAAAGTGTCTTTCCTTAATAGTCTTTACTATAACTGCTGGTGTAGTTACCTTGTAGGAGGTTGACGGTGGAGTGTATTTCCCCGTGTTCCCCACTCAGTAGTGCCTCTACCCTGTTTGGTGCTTTGGTCTTTTATTTAGTTTGTTTCTACAAATATTCTAGTAGTTTTAGTAACTGCCTTTTTAGTCAATAAGATAATAACAGATCTCAAAGGACTTTATGGATTACAACCAGCCTCATCACCAGGTTGACTTGTGGGGCGCATCCCACATTTTCCATATACATCTAATCTACATTTTTCGGCCTACCTGTTTTTAGTGCCATTTTATATTCAGAACAATTCTCAATTTAAAAAAAGTACCTGTACAGTGAATCTGAATGTTATTCTGCCTGACACTTGCTTTCTGTTTTCAGTCTCAGTTAACATTATGGCCGTTTGCCCAACCAGCCGACAGGGAAGCAGATCTTTTAGTGGCAGCGTAACAAAAACAGCCATTCAGTAAACTATCTGATAACAGTAAGCATTATTTGCTTGCATTTCATTAGCTCACGTATGTACGTTTGCTCTCTCTTCAGGTGACGGATGGCAGCAGCCCTCTCTGCTTCTGAGGCACGACTCTGTGGACTCGGGGGTGGCCAAAGGAGGGCATGGTGGGCTGGCAGGGGGCTCGTGTTGGAAGGAAACACCCAGCTGGCATGGAGCCTCGCGGGGTGCCCAGGACGGCCACCACCACCAGGGACGCCACCCCAAGCGGGTAGGAGGCGACAGGGACAGGCAGGTGGGGCACCGGCAGCGCAATGGCAACTTTCATCCCCGCAAGGCCACCTCGTACCAGGACAAGTTCCCCAACGAGGAACGCAAAGACAGCAAAGACGACAAGCTGAAGTTCGTGGAAGAGGACTTTGTGAGTAGATAGCCGTCACTGATTTTTTTCTGTGCACGTCGCTGACATAGATACCTTGAGTCAGTGGCAAAGCTATTTGAATTGTTAAATAAACGGTTCATAATACGAAGTATATTTTTAGGGAAATGGTGGATGTTCACACTGCACTTGACCTTCGATAATTAAAAACATTGTCAGAAACAATTTTCCATTTTGTCCCCATATTTACCTTGGGATTTGTTTTTGTTTTTTAGCCTTCCCTCAACCCTGAAACAACTGGAAAGCCTGGGAGTCAGATGCGAGCGGTGGCTCCCCATGCTGGAGTGTGGGGTAAGAGCTCCCAGTCCACATTGTATTTAAATACTGAACAAACAAGAGACGATTAAAAGTTTAAGCTCTCTTTTATCAGTTTTTTGTCCTCACCGTTGTAACATTTCATGTCTAACTGATTGTGTTGCAGAAAATCCCCCTAGTGGCAAACAGATGGTGTCCAAAATGCTGGTTATCAAGAAGGTTTCCAAGGAGGACCCCAGCACAGCCTTCTCTGCGGGGTTTGCCACTGCTGGCGCCTTGCCCACCAACGGCAGCAAAACTCCCATTGCAGGCTCCAGTGTCTACAAGAACCTGGTCCCAAAGCCTGCTGTGGCCCCCACCAAAGTAAGACTCAAATGAAACAACTAGCTTGATTTCTCCCTGCAGACGAGCAAGAGTTACTAATAAAAGCACGTTTGTTTTGAGTAGATAACAGGCTTTGCATACTGCATGTACCAGTCATGTTGGTGCTTCGCTGAGATGGAAGCAGTCTCTCCGTTTGTGACAGAGACTCATTATATGTTCCAGAGCACCCAGTGGAAATCCGGTGGTAGAGAGATCACGAAGTCTGGCCTTCACATGCCAGGCCGAGATTCAGTCTTCACCAGCCCCGTCTCTGCAGCCAAACCCAGCACCCCAGTCAGTGCACCACAGCACAACACCCCGAAAGAGGTGAGGATAATGGTGGGGAAATAACTAACTTTATGTCCATAACTACAACAGACATTTAAGGATTTTCCAACCCCAACAAGAACAGTATTTTTAAATGTTTAAAAGTTTTCCTAGTAAAAAAACTGCAACGCAAGCAAACTGGTAAAATTCCAGTGTAGCAGTCTGTTTTAAACTCTTAGTTCTTATGGCTGCATTCGTGACACATGTAGTTAGCCTGTCGCTGTGTAAGTAAATCACAGGTTTTATCTAAACATAGTAATTATGTGTTAGTGTGGTTGGTGGCTGAAACACTTACTCGCATGTGCACATGGAGTTTTTTTTTTTTCCCTTTGCAGCAGTATATGCAATCTGTCTTCTGTCCACTGTATTAAAATGTTGTCATCTGTGGTCATAAACTTATCAAAGTATATACTTTGAAAGATTTTACTGGCCAAATAGATTCAATAGCATGGATTGGCGTCTCAGTTGGGAAAAAAACAAACAATTTCAAGTTAGTTTTCTTCTTTTCCTCTCTCCCTTCCTCCGTGTGTTGCTGTCACACCTACAGCACCCTTCCAGCACGACTCCTCCCATAGACATTGCCCCGTCGAGGCTGAAGCTGATGCGCCGTGGTCCGGACCGCAAAAGTGAGTTCCTGCGAGCTCTGAAGGACGAGGGCACCGGAGAGCTGACGACAAGCAGCAGCCCAGGAACATCAGGAGAGGTAGGCAGCCGTTTGGCTCCGTTTCATAAAGCATCACACTGCACAGCACGGTACTTAGAGGCAATGACAGAGATGCTTGACAGACTGCTGTCAAATTTAGACCTGTCCTGTCTATTTTTGAAATGAATGTCATAGTACCAGATGAGAGCCATACTGTTAGTCTGCACATAAACACAGTTGGTACATTAAAGTGTCAAATCCAACAACTAAATATTCCAAAAAATTCACAAGACTTCGGCTTTGTTGTTGCAGTTTGCTCAAAGTTTGACATTGTGTCAGACCGTTTGAAATTTAAATTGCGTTCTCTTGCCGTGTGAATTTTTTCAGGGTGAAAGCAGCACCCCAGAGCCCAAAGCCTACAGCGAGGAAGTCTGCCACGAGAATGGTCTGTCCTACTCCCTCAGTGACTCAGACACAGAACACCTGTCCAGCTCCCTGGAGGCAGAGCACCGGTAGGACACCGCTAACAGCCTTAAACACACACACACACTATCACTTCAACCGCCACGCACACACACACACACACAATCAGTCTCTAACACACACACACACAATCAGTCTCTAACACACACACACACACACTATCACTCTCTCGCTCACGCACACACACACACTATCACTCTCTAACACACACACAGACCATCAACTAAGCAGAAAATCACCATGCTTTTCTAGGTTGCTGAAGGCCATGGGTTGGCAGGAGTACCCAGAAAACGATGACAACTTCCTGCCCCTGACGGAGGATGAGCTGAGAGAGTTCCAGACTAAAACCGAACAGGTGAGCACTCCGAGAATCATCTCGTGTCACTGGAGTGCTTTGTGCCTTTTATGTATTTTATCTCATACGCACACTCATCGTCCGTGTCTATTTGACCAGCTGAAGAGGAACGGCATGCAGAGGAACGGGGCTCTCCCGAGGGCGCGGGGTGTCACCCTCCACTTCACCCCCTGGAGGAGTGTGGCGGAGGCGAACGTCGAGGAGGGCTCCGATTCCGAAACCAGTAGCAGCAGCCAGACCTCTGACGACGACGACTGCATCAAATCCTAACGTGGCTTTACGGAACAAAAAAAACACAACAGCCAACACAACATCCCAGCAAGCAATCCCCCTCTTCCTCTCTCATCTTTGTTTTTAGAGCACCATTTTGAATTTCTTTTGTTTTGATTTTTTTGTTGTCATTCTTGCACAAGGGAAAAACCAATCATATCCCAGTGAAGGGGGAGATTCCTGCTCCGCCAGACGTCGTTTTCCCTGCGTTTCCTCCTTCACTGCAGTCCCTGCCCTCTTTGAACCCCCACCCCCCTCCCCTACTTCCTTTTTCTTCCTCGCTTTGTGGAACTGAAGTGTTCATCAAGAAAAGAAGGGCAATGAATGCACACTTGATTCTGCTTTAAACAGACTAACTCATTTCATTGATGATGCTGATGACACATTATTAATGATATTAATAAAAATTGGTTCCTGACAAGCTGATATGTTTCAATATGAATCTGGCTACTGTGGTGTTTTGAGTGTAATTTACTTTCTGTAGATCAGTTTTTAAAAGTATTGATCCTACGCTGCCTGCTATCAACCTGAGTGCTAAGATAATGAATTTGAATAGATTCAGCTACTGGCCAGTTGTACAGTCAGTCTTTCCCTGCCAAGAACAACAAATGCAGCACACTATTTTATTAGTGCTGAATATAACTGAGCCTGTACTTTGAACTGCTCTTAGGACAGGATTGCATTGTCTGTTTTTTTTTTTTTTGATTTATGTTTTGTAGCGTAGTGCAGGAACAAGGAGCCTTACTTTGTCAGATACCAATGTAGAACCAAACCACATCTTTCATGAAGATGGTCATATTAGCTATTTTAAATGAACAAATTGGGGTTTGTGAAAAGAAAACTACCAACTTAATGCTTTAAAGATGAGGATTTTCAGCTATGGCTTGGATTTAATTCAGACTTTAAAGCGAAGGCTTTCAATTTTGGAGGTGTCAGAAAATTATATAAAAGGATCCTTCTATGTACATAAATTCACTTTTATAGCTTTTAAAAGTTTCTTTTGGTGTTATATTCAAAATTATATAGGCCTTTTTTTCAGCGGACATTTTGACTCATTGGTAAAATCACTAGCTATTACTAATTAACGATGGCTTAATTCTATTCAAATAGTAAGCTATGACCATGAGCCAGAAACCTGATAGCGATTTACACCTGTTGCTTTAATTCTATGACAAGTAAAGATGTTCACAGTGAAGCTTTAGGTCTGTTGAAAAGAGAAAGCGATTGGCTAATTAGACCACTTCTCAGTTTGATGTTGGTCAGAGCTTTGCTGGAGTCATTCTGTGCTAAAATCAACACATGTACAGGCTGTTTCTCATTTAAGTGTTAGGCCCAAAGCCCTGCTTCTGCTTTTCCTGATAGAACTGAGGCCCATTAACTTCCCAATAGGATTTGACATATGACATAGCATGAACCTGTGATAACACAGTTCATTTACATGTCAAGCATTTTAAATATGTAATTCCAAGAGGCAAATTAGTGGATCAACAACAATACAAGGTTCTACTTAAATGTTACCAGTTAAGAGGTTTTAGTCCTCAGTCTGTATTAAACAGCAGCACACTGGGTCATAGGCTGAAGCTCCACAATCAAGGGAGAGGAAACATTTGAACACAATCAGAAATATTATTTTTGGCAGAAAACTGACACAAGGGAACAGAAATAAAAGTGCCATCCATGAAATTAAAGAACATTTGTTTAGAGGCAATGCCTTCCTAAAGTCACTTGTGCATGACAACTTTTCTATCAAACAATATTTATTGAAATTTTATAGCTTACATATGGGAACACACTAACATTACAACAGGCATAGAAAAAGAAACACATATTTACAACAGCAAACAGGTGTAGAAAGTGAAGTGAGCGTGGCATTTTTGTGAGTCTCTTCTTGGGTGGAGTCGAGTGTAGCTTCACTTACTGAAAAGAGAATAAGAGTTTGAGTCAGACTCAGCAGCAAAAAATCTATTTAACACAGTTCGGACATGAACTAGCCCTGATTCATTATGCTCACGAGGTGGGATAGTCTTTATTTTGAGCTACAAATTGTTTAAGGAGCGTTAAACAGTACTGTGAGACCTGAGCATCTCTCACCTCTCGACTTCCATGTGTCCGTTAGCGTCTCCGTTGGCTTTGTCAGCACCGTTAGTATTACCAGCGTCCTTCTTCACCTTCTTAACCACGTTCTCCTTCACTGGACTCTCATCTGATTTCCTCTGAAACACAGACGGGTTCATTCAAATGAGACTAACGCGCAACCGCTACTGCTACAGCTCTGAAATTCATTTTTATCAGTCAGAGAAACATCTGGCTGCCTTCACCTTCTTCCTGACCAGGTGGGAGATGTCAGAGACTGGAGCTTTGGAGGCGTGTCCGTTGGTAGAACTAACTCCGTTGGTTGATGTGCTGTTAATCTGGGTAGAAAAAAAAAAAAAACACGACTCATTAATAGTCATTTAAAAAGCCAATCAAATCAAGTGTGTGTGGGCAATACAGTAAGATCATATTCTTACATACACAGAGGCCCATCACTAGTATGTATTCACACACACACACACACAGACTGCACTTTACCTTTGGAGCAGGTGAGGAGTTGCCAGTCTGTGTTGAGGATCCTGGGAAAGCAGAGGAAGTGGAGCCTCCGTCCTGACAGGTGCACGAAATGAAGTTAGAATCAAAGTTTTATACGTCTGACCTTTACAGTCCGAGTAGCTCCACCCTCCTTTACCATCACATCTAAAGTGGTACCATAAATGCAAAGATTACAGAATTCATCTATACTTGCAGCAATCAATGCACATTGTTAGTTTCTTATCAGGCGTTCATATTACCTTTGATTGTATGTTTTGATGATTATTTACTGCTTGTTCATTTCCATTCCGTATCAACGGGGGACTATGAATGACGAGCGAACACGCCAGGAGACAGCAAATCTGTCAACTGGATGATCGTTTCATTTCAAATATGAACAGACCCAGTGCACTACATTTGCTTTCCATAATGTATGCAAGCATGTACACCAGTTTTAGCTAAATATTCCCACAATGCAATGTTTTACATTTGATAGATACCATCATGGATCACAAGTTATGTCTCTTTACATTCCTGACTCACCAGTACCCCCTTCACAGCCTCAGCGGCAGTGCTCGCCGTCTTCAGACCCTCTGTGGCATCCTCCACCTTCTCCTGGATCTCTGGCAGCAGCGCCTTCAGCTCCTCCATCTCCTTCCTCTCCTCAGGCAGAGCCTCTGGGCCCTCCGCCTTGTCTAGCAGCTCCTGCAGTTTGTCTGCCGGACACAGTGGGAATGTCAGCGCACAAAAGCCTTCGGCTCCTAAAACCCTGAGCATGTCATCCGTCGCCGGCCGTGCTTACCCAGCCTGCTCTTTATGACGGAGATGGAGCTCTTCAGCTCCTCGATGGCCTTGCTGTACTGGAGATTTAAGCTGTAGGTCAGACCCAGCTGGTAGTGGGTCTCGGCAAGCAGGCGGCTGTCTGAATCAAGGTGCTTCACCTGCAGCTTCAGACACTCCTGGAAATCCTCCAGAGCTTGCGTGTAATTCCCTGGAAGACAGAGGCAGCAGCTTAGACAGCAAGACAATGTCAGACGTTGAACACGTTGGGTTTTCGATGCATGTCCGTTTGGGCCTTAAAAAGGTCCAGTCGGTAGGGTTTAGTGGCATCCAGACAGTGTATATGATATGATATCATAGATCATATGATTAATGGATTGTTTAGCCTGTAAGCTTTCAGAAAATAGTGAAGAATATTGTGAAAATGTCCATCAGTTTCCAGGGCAGGTGATGTCTACAAAAACTTATTTGTCTGTTCAACAGTACAAAACACATTTTATTTACAATGACGTTACACAGATTAAAGCAGCAAACCTTCAGTTCTGGCTGGAACTTGCAAATGTTTGGTTTTTATCTGATACATGACTAATCATTAATGATCAAAACTGTCATAACTAATTGTTTCTCAATCAAATGATTAGGTGTAGAAGAATAGATCCATCTTAAGCTGCCCCCTCAGACATTTGTAAAGTGACAAAAATAAAGAGTGTGAAGACAGTCTGTTGAGCAACTTGTCCGTACCTGACTCAGCAGAAACTTCACCCAGTTTCAGGTGGGTCTGGGCTGCCATGAGCTGATCCTCTTTGTTCTCCTTCCTTGTTTAAAAAAAAACAAAAAAAACCCAACATCAATCAGTTAACATGGAAGATCAAAGTCAAATTTACCAATCGGGGTTCAGTGTTTCCGTTACCTTGTGTAGATGACTTTAGCCACTTCCAGCATTTCCCAGGCCAGCTGCAGGTTCCCCACCTCCTCATCCTCACTGTCCTGAAAAACACAACAGATTGTAAATCCGACACTTCCAACCTCACGTTCTCGTCAGCCTGACGTACTTTGAGCCGATTGGTCAAAGTACCTTCTCAGCAGTGCCGTCTCCTTCGCCCTCCATTTCTGCATCATCACAGTCTTCCTCCTCCTCCTCCTCCTCATCTGAAACATCAATAACATGATTAGATAAATTTGGTAACGTGCCATTACAACCATCATTAGACATTAACAATCAGGCTCCGTCATTAAAGGAGATAAACTCACCTTCTGCTTCCTCTTCCTTGTCGTTTTCTGTCTTGTCTTCACTTTCATCAGATTTGCTTCCATGAACTTTGCTCTTCTTTTCTGTCTTCTGTTGCTCATCAGCGTTTTCTTTATCTTCGCTCTGCTTCCCTTCGACCTTCTGTAAGTCCTCTTTTTCCTTCTCTGTGTCTTCCTTCTTTTTCTCTGCATCGTCTTCAGTCTTTTTCTGTGCGTCTTCAGTCTTCTGCCCGGGCCTTGTAACTTACTGTGCTCGTCTCGTTAAACTTCAACAGGGAGAAGGGTCAGGATGAGCTGAGGGTTTTGCGGCTCGACGCCCGCGCATGTTGGCGGAGAAAGAAATGGAGCCGAAGATCTGCAAGAGGAAGAAGACCGAATGATTGCAGGAGAAAGGGAAGAGCCGAAGATCAGAGAAAGGAAGAACGCGAAGATGCAGAGAAGAAGACCGAAGAGTGCAGAACGGGAGAAGGACCGAAAGATGCAGAAAGGAAGACCGAAAGATGCAGAGAAGAAGACCTGTGAATGAGTGCAGGGAAAGAAGACCGGAAGCATGGCAGAGAGAAAGACCGAATAAGGCAAGAAAAGAAGAGTCCGAAGATGCAGGAGAAGAAAGAAGGCCGAAGGGATTGCACGAAGAAAGGGGGCGAAAGACCGAATACTTTGCAGA